CCCCTTCCGCCCTCTTTTCCCGCCAGACCTACCCAAGGACTCTCTTTCGCCCAGCGCCTCCAGCAGCTCATTGAGGCTCTGAAGGTAATAGGCAGTTCTGGAGCAAAGAGCTCTTACAGCATGGAGATCCCAGAGCTCCCAGAACCCATCTCCTGATCTGAAACTGTTCTCAGACCAGTGAACAGTTCATCTGAAATAAATAAATGCATGTATTTATAAATATATATATATATACACACACACACACATGAGGAAATGCTTTCTGGCCTTCTGTCTGCCCAGCTCCACTCAACCGAAGCCTTTCTCCATTAGATCTACCCCCTCTAAAGGGACCGAATGTGTGTTTTGGTACTGGGATCGAACTCTGGGCCTTGCGCTTATGAGCCAAACCCCCAGCCCTTAAATTGTGTTTTTTAAATCTTAAATTTTAAGACTGGAATAAGGTGACCTGGGACCATATGATTGGTATGATCTGTTTCACACTTAGTGAAATGGACAGGAGTTAGCAGTGAGGGGCTGACTGCATAAATAAGAGAGGTGGCTGAGTGGCAGGGAAAGACTGCCTGGGAAAGTAGGGGTGAGGGTCAGTCTACAACTAGGAAGTCTTGCTGTATAGGTGCCATTTGAAAGACACCCATGGAGAGACTTTTGTATGGGAGGTTGGATTCCTTAGCATATGAAGGCCAGAAAAGCTACTGGGCAGCCAAAACAACAAGTCTCCACACCAGACGTAGTTTCACTTGTGCTTTAATGGTGGCTGGCCAATCCGACACTGCCAGTCCAAGTTCATTACTGACCTGTGGCTAACCCTATTCGTTTCTGGACTCAGGGAAATTTAAAAATATTTGTTAATGCTTTGCAGCTTTCCAGTAAGTGTGTGTATATAGGGATACCTTTTGGAGAGCCTTTTTGAATGAGTTTCGAATGGCTTCCATAACGTATTTAAGATCTTCCACTCCAAGGAACAGAAGCCATATAAGTGCTAAGGATATAAAGATGCTACACAGAACCAATAGGAAAGGCCAGAAACAGACACAGGGATGATGAGGAACTTGGTGAGGTGTGACCACAGTCTGGAGTATTTGCGGAGAGCCTGAGATATTTGGTAGACCTGCCCCACACTGCCCAAGTGGGGCTAGCCCCAGCCAGAAGTACTTACAGTTGCTTGCAAAATCTGGTAGAGAAATCCTAATGGGCTCAGGTCACCTGGCCACTGCAATTAAGGTTGTAAATCAGACTGATGAGAAAGCCCGAGGGACACATCATTTCCTGGTTGGCTCGGAAATGGAAAGATGAGGCAGCCATGAGTCTTCATGCTTGGGATTCTTCTGTCTGCTTGGGTTCAGACAAAGTTCCCACTCTACCCCTCATCAGGGGTGTCCTTGGGAAGATGTGCCAGAAGGTTGTATGACCACGAAACAAGGACAGGTGGGACACATTTGGAGCAGGATTTGACACACTAAATGCTTGTGTGTGGGTTTCACATGGGCGCTGCTGGTGAAAAAGCCATGGTCATCACAAGGGCAGTCAGGGCCACTAATCTTCCCATGAATGCTCTGAAATGCTTTGGTTTGGTCACATGCGAAGGCTTGCGTATGGGTCTGAGAGCCCCTAGCTCTGCAGGGTAGCAACATTTGATAAAAACCCAATTCTCTCTGCCTTGGCTAAAAAGCTGGCATTACTGAAACTGAACTTGGCAATTTAACTTGCTGGCTTTTGGACGTCTGCTAGCTTCTCTCCCCTACTCCCCTCTTCTTTCCTCTCCCCTTCTTTCTCGTCCTCTCCTCTCTTCCCCTTGTCCTTTTTCCTTTCTCCCTCTGCTGGGGACTGAAGCCAGAATCTCACATATACTAAGCAAGCTGAGTTACCTTAGGCCCCCCAGTTCCTTTAGGCCAAATTTATAATTTCCCCGGTGTCAGGCACTAGTTATTTTCTAACTACTAAGCAAACATGAGACATGTTAGAGTCCATGTGACCTAAAAAGCAGAGGCCATGATTGTTCTCTCAGTAATGTTTTTATCTTAACTTGTTCAAATTAATCTTGTTTCATATTGTGATACTCAGTTTGCTCTTTGCTAGTGTATTTGTGTATGAACTACATAAATGTCGTTGATTTTTGTATATTTATCATATATCCTTTTGTTTTTTGAGAATGGGGCCTTATCACGTTTGTTGCCCAAGTTGGTCTTGAATTCTTGGGCCCAAGCAATCCTCCTGTGGTTAGCCTACCAGGCAGCTGAAACTACAGGGGTGTGCCGCCACATCCGGCTTAAGAAAGTACTCTTAAAAAAATACTTTCTTTCACTCAGCTAATCATTTTGAGAGTCATTTATGATGTGGTAGTATGTATCAACAATTTATTTTTTTACTTACTGCTAAATACTTTATTCTATACCATGATTTGTTTTTCTATTTTTATTGGGTTGCTTTTAGCTTAGACTATAAAAAATAAAGCAGCTGTGGATATTCATATTTGATATAAGGCTTTTGTATTTTTGCTTAAAATATGCCTATATTTTCCTATTTCTTGGCTAAGTGTCTATGTGAAGAATGGCTAGATCATGTGGTAAGTGTATGGTAAGCAAGTTTTAAAAAACTGTCAAAGTATTTCTTCAAAGTAGTTGCAATATTCTGCATTCCTACAGTTCCATCTTTCTACATCCTCCACAGCACTTGGCATAGTCTTTTTAATTTTAGTCACTGTGATAGCTATATGGAAATATTTTATTGTGATTTTAATTTCCATTTACCCAATGGCTGGTGATGATAAGCACAGTTTCATGTGCTTGTTGTTATCCAAATATCTTCTTTGGTGAAGTTTCTCTTCAAATCTTTTGCCTATTTAAAAATTTTGGTTTTTTTTAATAGTGCTGATAATTATTTCTATGTGCTAAGTGTGCCAGTAATCAATTACACACATTTGTAAAATATTTCTTCCCTGTTAGAAATTTGTCTTTTAATTCATTTTTTTTTTCCTGTTCTGGGGATCAAACTCAGGACCTTGTGCTTGTGAAGCAGGTGTGGTGCTACTGAGCTAAATCCCTGGCCCCCGTCTTTCAGTTCTCTAAAGAGTGTGTGTGTGTGTTTGTGTGTGTGTGTGTGTGTGTGTGTGTGTGTGTGTGTGTGTACCACTGGGGATTGAACCTAGGCCCTTGTGCTTGCTAGGCAAGCAGTCTACCACTGAGCTACTTCCCCTTAGTGCTATAAGCTGGGAGTCATGTCTTTCACTCATGAGCTTTAGGGGACATTCCAGGTCCAAACTGTAGCAGGTACTAAAGAGAAACTGCAGACTCAAAGGTAAAATGACTGAAATGAAAACTCACTAGAGGAGTTCAAGAGCAGACATGAGCAGACAGAAGAAAGAACTGATGAATCTGTTGGAAAATAATTGGAAAAACTCAGTCTTAGGAATAGAAAGAAGAGAGAGTTAGTAGAAAATTGAATCAGATTGAGGGAACTTCGGACACCGTCTAACATACTACGATACAAATTATAGGAATTTGAGGAGACAGAGGGTGGGGGAGGGAGAGAGAAGGAGGAGGAGGAGGAGAAGGAAGAGTAGGAAGAAGAGAGCTGGGGAGGGAGAAGGAGAAGAGAAGAAATGCAAAGAAAGCATATTTGATGAAACTATGGCGACTAAACTTCTCAAACTTCCCACTTAGAGGAAAGATAAGAATACACACATCCAAGAATTCCAAAGAACTGAAAGCAAAGTCAAAGAGACCCACATTAAAGTCAAACTCAAAATACAAGGAGTAATTTTTTTTTTTGGTACTGGGGATTGAACTCAGGACTTGATCTTGCAAGGTAGATGGGTGTCACTAAGCTAAATCCCCAGCCCAGAAGAGTAAAATTTGACAGCAACAAGAGAAAAGCAACTTATATAAAAACAACCTTCAATGAGAGTAACAGTTGATTTCCCATTAGAAGGAATGAAGGCATAAGGTAGTGGTATGTCACATTTAAAATTCTAAAAAAAATCCAATTTTATCTATAGGCCAGGAATTCTGTATCCAGCAAAGTATGTGTCAAGAATTAAGGAGAAATTAAAACTTTTCCAGATTACAGAAAATGTGAGAGAGTTCATTACCAGTAGCCTTGTCCTAGAAGAATTCTTTTCTTTAAAGTGAAATAAAAGAAAACGAGAATAACTTGAAACCATAAGAAAAAATAAATACTGGTAAGGGTAACTATACAGCTATATACCAAACCAAGTAAGACCAGAGATTTAACTCAGTGGTTCTGCTGCCTCTCTCTCAAGTACAAGGTCCTGAGTTTGATCCCTGGTACAACAAACAAACAAAAAGACCCAAACAACAACAACAAAAAAACAAAGGCCGGGTGTGGTGGCACATGCTTGTAATCCCAGCACTTTGGGGAGGCTGAGGCAGGAGGATCGCTGTGAGTTGAGACCAGCCTGGGCTACATAGTGATCACGTTCCAGGTCAGTCTCAAGTACATAGTGAGACCCTGTCTCAAAAAAAATGAAACCAAACAAATGAACAAACAAAACAAACCAGAGACAAAAGCAAGCATTTTTCTACTTCTGATATAGTTTATAATAACTTAATAGGAGCATATATAAAATAATAATTATAAATCCATGTTACAGGCCCTCAAAGTAAAAAAAGGTAATCTGTGATGATATAAAGGGATAAGGACAGAGGTGAATAGCAGCAGTACTTATATACTATCAAAAATAAATTATTACATAAATTAGCTTGCAATGAATTTAAGATATAATTGTAACATTGAATTTAAGATATAATTGTAACATCTCAACATAACATTGAGGAAATTACTCAAAACATACGGGAAAAACTAGCATATCCCTTTAATCCTAGGACCATCAGAGGCTGAGGCAGGAGGATCTTAAGTCTGAGCCCTGTATGGGCAATTAAGTAACTTAGCAATACTCTGTCTAACAGCAGCAGCAGCAGCAGCAACAGCAATAACAAAAGGGTGGGGGATGTAGCTCAGTGAGATGGCCCTGGGTTCTATCCCCAGTAGTACACCCCTCATAAAACTCGAGTAACAGAATAAATTAACAACAGACATATCCAGGACATTCTACTCAACAAGAGCAGAATTTATTCTTCCTAAGTGTATCTAGAACATTCTCTAGGACCAATCATATGTTAGGTCACAAAGCAAGTCTTAATAAATTTAAGGAATGAAAACATGTAAAGTATCTTTCTTTTGCGTACAGGAGAATAAAATTACATATCAGGAACAGACTGAAAAATCCACTAGTATGTATAAATTAATGCGGTTTTTTTTTTTTTTTTTTTTTT